TTGGAGGATCTGTAGAACACGACGGTAATGTAATTGTCGGTTGGCAAACCTACATCTAGAAGATTCCACAGTCGTGTAATATTTGAAATATAAATGATACTAAAATCAGTTATTTGCAATTGCACTTTCAAACGGCATTGCTCGCGGTGAAGGGAGCACGTAGGCGTCGACTGGGATTACGTTAGCTGTAGATCGAAGGTAAGTGATAGATGGCACTAGATAAAATCTTACATACATAATACAACTATTAGGGTCTGTCCCACCACTAGATAGAGGCTCAGATACTTTAAAAATGACGTTACTGTCAAATATGGGAACAAAATCCGATATTTCCATCACTTATTTTACATGCATGATTGTTATCAATTTATTATTTGATGGGACAGCCCCTTAAATTGCTAAATAACTAATACTAAACTTCACGTTACGTACTATCCATCGGTGACAAAATTTTCAGGAAACACAAAATTTGCTCACTTCAGAGATTAATTAAACATAGCCTTGCCAGGCTAGGATTAGGCAACCCGGTTAAAACATGTTTAAAAATAGTGCTCTTTCATGTAATGTAGATTTTATCAGGAAATCTGATGAGGGAAGGTTATCACTAGTGTTGTGTCCCTGACTATAACCTAAAATGTTCCTGTGAATAGGCTATACAGGGCTAAATTTTAAAGATAGCTGGATATCTTTGACCTCATCCGCATGCGACTTCATCCGCATGAAATTATAAAAATTTCATTTTATTGTTCACATTTGTCAAATTATCAATTGTTAATGTCAAAATGACAAACCATGGCAACCATTCCTTGATGTTGGCAACAACTTATGGTCTCTTTCCCACACTAGGGTTTTAATTCAAAATATTTACCCCCTAAGTTTAACGGCGTGAAAATATAGCCTAAAGCGTGACGTAAGTGTAGAGCTTTTTATTAAAAAAAGAGTTATTCGAAAATATGCTGTAATTGCTGGCGTCTTAGGCAATAAAGAAGTGTGTGTTTACGCTTTATTATATTAGTATAGATAATAGTATGGATACATTGGACGTTAACCCGAGCATGTCAGTAAGGGCGATAGTTTCACGGTTGTCAGTCGGGTTTATACTTTTTTTTTTATTGAGTACTAGTAGATTACTGTAAACAGTATCTATCGCTACAAAGTACTTGATACCGTAAATGTAAGGGATTTTAATTGGCAGGTAAAGTATGCTTGACATTAACGGTATGTAGAGCATACATTTGTTAATTAACGCAGTTCCAAGATTGCGTATGTTTATTTACAATTTACATGTTTTGTCGCTAACATATTGGCATACGCTTAATTAATGCTAATACTTCTTTTAGTATTTTACTAATTATTGTACACTAGCTTTCGCCCGCGACTCCGTCCGCGTGGGGTTCATGAGAACAAAAGTTAATAGTCTATGTGTTCTTCCAGACTATCCTCTAAGTCTATTCCAAATTTCATCGAGATCTGTTCAGCCGTTTAGGCTACAAACTCTAACAAACATCCATCCATATAAACTTTCGCATTTATAATTTTAGTAAGATTAAGACATTAAAACAATATTTTTATATGATAAGTTTTCTCCATACAGGATTCTTGCTTAATATTATAACTGGGTGATTTCCAAATTAAATTCTTGGAACATATTTTGAAAATTTGTACAAACATGTACATTTATGGATGTAGAATTTTGATGTGATTTTTGAAGGTGTTTTTAAAAGCTTGCATTAAAGTGTTGACTTTCAAAAGTCGCCTTCGCTCCAAAAATGGATAAAGTAATTAAAATAAAACACAAATTTAAAGTTTCTAGGTTATTGTGAACATTTGTTTTTTAAAAGTTTAGATTATAAACTGTTCAGTGATTCTTCTTAACAGTAAAAAGATAGTTTAGTAAAAAAAACGATTTATTTTTTAGTTATTTACATATTAAAACATCGTTACTCCGTATTCCTACATCTAATTTTCTGATATAACTTCTGTCATCTATATCTATCGATACATATAGTAAAATTGGAGTGTCTGTTTGTAATATCAAATGAAAAATTACAGATTTTGGGAAGATGATGTATTTGTGTCGCTAATAACGAAAATTGCATTTAAAATTTCTTTGTCTATCTTTCTGTCTGTCCGCAAGCCGCGTTTCTTCTGTGTAATCTCCGAAACGGCTGGGAAAATTTCTACCGAAAGGTAGCTGACATAGACGGGCATATTATTGCCTACTTTTCGACCGACTTCCCAAAAGAAGGAGGTACTCAATTCGTCGATATATTTTTTTTTATATTTTTTTTTATGTGTGTTACGGCATAATTTATCTTAATATTGAGTGGAGGAAGTCGCGGGCTACAGCTAGTGTAAAATGTAATTACAAATCAAACAGATTTGTGTCGTGTAAACTGTCATTTGAACACAACACAACACAATGATATAAAATGAACTCGCTCAATAACCTGCAGTATTGCTCTGCAATAGCAAAAACAATTGAAAGCTTGCAACTTGAATGCGGAGTGGGCAATGGTCAGTAATTAGGCAAGTCAGCCGGTCCGCCCGCGCCGGCGCCCTCACATTAGGGCTCAATCACATCAACAACATTTTTATTACGACTTTTAACATGCCACTGTAAGGAAAATACAAATATGTCAAAACAATTATACTTATGATGTAAGTTTACTTAAGACTAACAAGTTATCTAAACCGGTGGGCATAAGTGAAATTAAATTATGATAGCTTACTAGCGCCCTCTTGTGTCATTTTCTTTATCCATATAGATTTGAAATATTTGCTGACAGAACAGAGATAAAAAAGTTATTTGATAAATCTGTGCTTGTTCTTGTCACTTTACCCAAAGCAATATAAAGTCCAAGTCTTTGCCAACTTTTAAATGTTACTTTTACTTCGCCTTATAAAATTTTAAACTCCTTTCATTCTTCCACATTCATTGTATTATTTTTGGTACTTTAATCTATTAAATATCTTGTAGTTAAGATATCTCTCTTAATTCCTTAAATATATTCGAATTTCATAGCAGTGTGAATGCATCCTAATATTTAGACGTATTTTAATTGCGGCCCAATACTGAGTATGCGGCGCTCGGCCGCGGCAGTGCAGCCCAGTATTTGCATAGCCGATTCATTTGAACTACTTTTCCGTCATTTTCCGGTACAGATAAATACCGCCTTTCTGTTTATTATTATTCTAATATCAATCAGTTTAAGTTCTTTATTTTTGTCGCAGTAAACATATGTCTAGTTATTACTAAAGTAGTTAATACAATTTTAAACAGGACTTGACAAATTTAATTTTACAACGCACTAAAATAAAACTAGCGAAATCATATTTGTATCTTACTTAACTGACATTTATGTATGAATCGCAAGCTTTCGCCCGCGACTCCGTCCGCGTGGAGTTAAAAAAAATAAAAGTGAGTAACCTATGTTCTTCCAGACTATCCTCTATACATATTTAACAGATTTTATTGAAATCTGTTCAGATCTTTAGGCTACAAACTAACATCCATCCATTCATCCAAACAGTCGCATTAATAACATTAGTATGAAGTATGATAATGTATTCGATGCAACACTTTTTGTTATAGGAAAATTATCTGCAAACGCTGTTCATTAGGTTTTTATTGCTTAGTAAAAGTGTAAGTTCGATAACGGTATGATTATATAACCTAAAAGAAGTCAACTGAGAAAAAAATAACTAGTTAGAAATATCACAGAATTAACTACGTATCATGTGGAAATATTTTCCCTTAGACATACAATATAGAAAAGATTGCAAATAGTTATTTATAATATATTAATAGGCGATTGTTAAACTGTTCATTTTAACTGTACTTATTAAGTAATGATTTTTACACATTAATTTAGTTAGAAAACATATAACAATGTTTCAGTAAAGAATACACGAAATTTTCAGTGACAGTAATTCTTAGAAAAGTTTTTAAAGAATGAGAAGGAACTATAAAAAAAGTATTAATATAAAACGGAATAGCTAAAAGCCATGAAGGGTATCTTAAAATGTTAAATGTTAACTGTTAAAAAAAAGTTAAAATAAATTTAACAAATTTTGAGAACCGCTGACCGTAATATGACACAAACAGGTGATTGTATATAATTTCCTACGGCGCCAATAAATTTTACCTCAGTAAGATAAGGATAAATATTTATTACTATTTATAGGAGCTCCGTCCTTGGTACTGCAGGTCTAATTCCAGAATACTATTATTAGTCAAGATTTATTTGCAACGGACAGTCAAGCATTAACACCGACACTAGATCACAGCATTGGAGTTAGGAATGCAACCAAAGCCTAGATTACATCATGCTACTGTTCTGTCAAAATTACAAGAGTTTCTCATTGTTAACTGGCAATATTTAATGCCAAAATAATGTGTTAACTAAAATGTTTACTATACTTTAATGTTATAAAGAGGAAAATTTGGATTTTTGGATTTTTATATGTATTGAAATAACTCAAAAACTACTACACCGATTTCAAAAAATTAGTTGACCATTATAAAGCTGTTTTCTCACTGAGTAGCATAGGTTATACTTTTTTTTATTTCACGCAGACGATGTGGCGAGCAAAACAATTTTTGCACCGGAATTAATTTAATTACAATTAATGCATTTGGGGATATATCAATATATAGTGTTAGTGATGAAAATGTCTCAATTTAAGTGAACTATGCCTCCTCTGTATTTATTTGTCTACTCTTTGACAAAGGAGTTTGTTAACAGCTAAAGTATTCATCCTGGCCACTAAGAATGCACACCATAGTTAAGAAAAAAAGTTAACTAATCATATTAAATAATAGAATTTAGCGCGGGAATATAACTAGTGCGAAAACAAAATGTAATAAAAGCCGTCTTTTGTTTTTAAATAACGAAATGTTTTGCGTTTGTTACACATGTTTTTAGTAGTCAAGTTTTTTAATTGATTGAGTGAGAATTTTTGAATATAGATACTTCCAAGTTTATTTAAAAGATGCAAAATATTCATACCACGCAATAATAACGCCTAAATTAACTGTTAAATTGTATAAAATTATTGAATCTCTGCTTGTTATCGGAACATCCTGTGGATTATACATTAGGTATAGTTTTTATCTGAACATCCGTCGGCCCAAATGTATTGTCGCAAAACGTTTCGCTCAGAGACCAGTCGCGGTACTATGTTGTTTGTTGTGGTATTATGTTTGGCTGTGCTAACTAATGGAAAAGATTTACAATGTAAGTTGATTGATTATTTTAAACTTAATGTCGCTAAATGTTTAGTTTGGTTTGAAATGGATTTATTTTATGTAGAAACGAGCTTTCGCCCGCGACTCCGCGTTAAATTAATCAAAAACTAAAGCAAGTAGCCCATGTGTTCTTCCAGACTGTCCTCTACGTCTGTGGCAAATTCATTAAGGTCCTTTTAGCCGTTTAGGTTACAAACTCTAATAAACATCCATCCATCCAAACTTTCGCATTTATAATATTAGTAAGATTGAATGTGAATTACGGACATTCTTTACTAGAATCTTTAGTAGTTTAAAATTCAAAATTCTGCTGTTAATTAATAGATCAATTTTCGTTTGAAAGTAATTAAATTTCACACTTGCTTATACGTGCATCCCAATCGTGGACCCTAAATTAAGGTTTCTTTGATCTCTCTCTCACGGTAGATCAGCGCTGGGTACTTCAGCTAGAAGTTACTAGCATTTAAAGCGAGGACCCAATCCGCAATTTTCCAGCGTGGTTGACTGTGTCACCCCTTAATAGGGTAGGCTCCGAGACCCTCGGTGGGTACGTATAATGAGCTGGTGATGATGATGATAAAGATGAGGACCCAATCCAGTCAGCATTGCAACACTAATTTCAAATATTTCTTTTTTTTCACTTAATTAGTTACGTTTTTCATTATTTTGTGTTATTTTTTTTGTAAATTCATAATTGTATTGTAGTGTTTTTAAGGATTTAACGCTGTTTTATTTTATTTTTCATTTGTTTTAAAAGTTTACTTCTTATAGCTTACTTGACTGACGCATCATGGGATGATGTGATCGCGGCGGGCGGCCTGCACATCGGGCAAGGAAGGACTAAGAGATTTGTTGAACTGAATACAACACAGGTATAATAATATTCAAACTTTACTACGGCTCGTGAGTTCAGAGCGCACGTCTTTATATGCTCGTTGATAGCTTTTGGGCCGTTTAATGCTGGGTTTCTGTTGTATCCGCTTATTTTGTTATTATTTATCTATTCGTTAATGTAAGGTTTACCTATGTTTCAACTCATTTAATGAATTTATTAAACCAAAAACACTAACGAATGGTTAAACGTAGCTGGGAAACCGGTGATAAGTAAGTTTAAATGAAAATAGTCGAAAATCAATTTCAACCTCAAACATCGATTTGTAAGATGCTGGCATTATATCCTCTTGATTTACCCGAAACAGCTAAATAGTTACTAAACTAAAAGTAACAATGAAAACGAAAATTATACCAACAACTTAAAAAAAAAACACCTAAATCTAACTATCAAAACTAATGCAAACAACTTCATTATAGTTTTAATAAAGTATTCGAGTATCAAATTCCAATAAGAGAGAGTTCACTTTGTGGTTGGTGGCGCCACTGTGACGCCCACAAACAAGCGTTGCCTTTGATTGATCTCTCCACTCGCCGCAATATCTTGTGCAAGAATATAACCACTAACACTCCATTAATGCATTAAAACTAAGATATGATGTACTGTCATTTTTCATCGATTTATTTTAATTGAAATTCTTCTGCATTTTCTTGTTAAAACTAGTAATTTCGAGTTCGTGGGTGGTCGGAAATTCTCAAGCTTCTAAATAACATGAAAAATATTTCTATTAATCTATTTAATCTATTTTGGTAGACTTTGTAACAACATCGAGTATTTTTATACTATACTAGCTTTCGACCGCGACTCCGTCCTCGTGAAATTAAAAAAACAAAAGCAGCCTATGTGTTCTTCCAGACTATCTTCAACGTCTATACCAAATTTCATTGAGATTCGTTCAGCAGTTTAGATTACAAACTCTAACAAACATCCATCTAAACTTTCGCATGTATAATATTAGTAAGATAGTACTAGTTTTTAAGTCTTTAGTGTGATATTGTTCCAGCCCGACGTCGCCCACCAGCCATGCTTCCTACCAAATGGCAAGCGCGGCCGCTGCCGGCACGTGCAGCACTGCATGCTGCAGGACTTCAAGGCTGACTTCCTAAAGTACATGGACTATCTCTGCGTTATCAAACGATCGTACGTACAAATACCACGTTTTAATAGCCTTAGAAAAGTCCGCTAAAAATAAACGCACAGATAGATTCCTAAAAAGTTCTAGAGTTCTAAAGATAACCTAAGTTTTCGATTCTAAAAAGGAGTTTTCATCTTGTATTAAACTTTATAGTATTTCTATATATATTCTACGTCCATACTAATCATGAAGAGGAGAGATTTGTATTTTTGTATGTATTCGATTCACGTAAAAACTACTGGGAAGATTTTAAAATTTCCTTCATCATTAGAAAGGTAATTTATCTGTGAGTAACATAGGCTTTATGTTTTATTATGTTTGAATTTAACGCGGACAAAGTCGCAAGAAACAGCTATTCTATAAACAATTTAATGCTAGTGTTAAATCAATTAAATATACCAGTAATATTCAGTCGTACTGAGAGTTATTAACCATGACTTTTGTAGTTCTCTTGGCGCTTGTTGCCCTGAAGACTTCAGCGCGGGTCCCGAGGCTCTGGCCGGGGACCTGCCCGCTACCGCCTCCCGGGACGAGTCCCAAGTAGTCACCAGAATAGTGCGCGCAGAGAACAGAGGTGTGTAATGTATTAAATACATGATCATGAATATTTTTTGTTTCATTTTATCGATATTACCTATAGGAATATGTCAAATGGACTTACAAAGGTATAAATGTAGAAATAAAATAAAATAGGATACAAGTGTAACGGCATTGACAAAACAAATTGCGTTAAATAACTGGCTAGATACATACTTTTCATCATCAACTTGCCCTTATCCCTTACGGAGGGTCGGCACAGTATGTGCTGTTCTTTCATACATCTCTGTCAGCCGTCATATCTGAATCCACTCCTTTCTTAAGCATATCCTCTTTCACAGAATCCATCCATACTTTCTTCGGTCTTCCTCTTCCTTTGTAGCCATCCACATTCATTCTTAACACTTTCAGGTTTATGTCCCCATCGTCTCGTCGCATGTCCATACCACGCTAACCTTTTGCTTCTCAATTTCTCCACCACTGGCGCTACTTTCAAACTTCCTCTAATATACACATTCTTAACTTTATCCATTCTTGTCACAGCACACATCCATCTTAACATACGCATCTCAGCCACATGCAATCTCCTTTCATCCGCAACTTTGGTGGCCCAACATCAGATCCATACAATAGATAGATACTTTTAAATCCTGGAATAAAATCATGCCATAAATAAGTTCTAATTTAACATTAACCTCTATGAAGTATGGCCAATAATTAGAAATCCCTAACTCTCGGGAAACCGGCAATAGGTGATTGTTGACTATATATATTTAAAGCAAAAAAAAAAAGTTCTATATACAACTCTGAAGAATACGGTAACAGCAGATAAAGAGTACAGCTTCGAACAAGAGTTCGGTTGCTTGTTCTAAGATGTATATAGGTATTTTTTGACTGAATTGCCACTGTTTGCCTTGAAGAGACATTTACAGATTAACCGGGTTTGAGGTGGCTGAGCACATGGCGCTTAGCCTAAACCATTTATAAGTAACTTAGCTCGAGGGCTCAGCCTGCACGGGCCGTTACTTCTTCATTATTACCGGATTGGAGGATAGCTAGTAGCTACGTAATTTCCTTATATTTCAAGGATGCGGCATGAGTACGCGTGCGATGAGTCGCGTGGTAGGGGCGCGGCCGGGCAACCCGCGTGATTGGCCATGGATGGCCTCCATCACGCCGGAAGGCTTTGAGCAGTACTGCGGCGGCGCGCTCATCACCGACAGACATGTGCTCACCGCCGCGCACTGCACGAGAAGGTTAGTGCCTTTAAAGATCAACTTCTCTAGATTAAGTATGCAAATCATTTATATCATAGGACTTTTTAAGTGTTGAGCCTAAGGACGGGCGAAGGCGCCAGATATAAAGAACCGCTACAGACGAAATAAAATGCAGTCATCTTTCTCCTTATCCTACTCCCTAATTTCGACACAGTTTTTGTCTTCCACTTAACTCTATCATACGTCATCTCAGTACACTCCCTTCTTGATCGTGTCACCTTACACGCAATACATCTCTTTCTAGGTCTCTACCGGTGTACCACACTCATAACTAACGTTTTTCTTGTTGCATGTGATTCATCCCTTTCTAAACTTGTGCTTCTTAATTTCTTTTCCCAGTGGCTCTATAGATAAAAACTTCCTCAAATAATCTTATCGAAGTAAAATGCAGTAAATCATGTAATTTCTGAATTCCAAAGATATTCCAATATGACAAAGAATTAATACACTGAATCTCTCTTCTAGATGGAAAGCTGAAGAACTGTTTGTCCGTTTGGGTGAATACGATTTGAAACGCACCAACGATTCCCGCACATACAACTTCCGTGTGGTAGAGATCCGTCAGCACAAAGACTACGATGCCTCCAACTACCAACACGATATCGCCATCCTGAAGCTGCACCGCGCCGCCGTCTTCAACACATACGTGTGGCCTATCTGCCTACCCCCGTTGGGACTCGACCTGGTTGATAAGATTGCTATTGTCATCGGTAGGTATTCAACAACAGCACCCCATTTATCTACTAATCTGTCAGTTTTCTCATAATTTTTCAGAAGCAGCTAACTGAGGCACGTAAAGACCTCATCATCTCCCTTATCCTTATCCTACTCCCGTAGTGTCGACGTACCGGTTTTCTGTCCTCAAAATAACTCTATCATCCGTCATCTCAGTCAATGAATTTCAATTTGAGGCACGTGCAATCATGTCAATTATCATGTTTTCCACAAGTCTTTTATGTACCATGTCCTATGCGAGACTTGCCCCCTTCTTCTCTTCTGCCATAAAATGTAAAATAGGAGACGACCGACGACTAGAAAACCATACCATTTAGAAAAACCTAGCTGGTTCCTGTTGCATGTTGAATGTCTAGATAAAAAGTTTACCACCTGCAGTCAGTATCAGCTAGTTCTCTTACTAAATCTACAGTCTTCCTGACTCTGAATCAGTTAAAGTTATTTGGGCATGTAGGCTGGGGCAATATTTACTTCGGCGGGCCGCACAGCGACGTGCTGATGGAGGTGTCAGTGCCGGTCTGGGAACAGAACAAGTGCCGCGAATCCTTCACTGCTACCGTCTTTGACGAAAATATGTGCGCCGGCGGACCTGAGGGTGGCAAGGACTCTTGTCAGGTAATTATTACAAATTTAATTTACTTTTTTCTCAAATCATTATCAGCTGTCATATCTGAATTCATTGTTATCCTGTTTCAGACAATATTATCATTTTATGACAGTGATTTCCAGTGATCCCGTCCTTGGGGTTCTTAAAGATTAAAAGTATGTGTTCACATGTTGCTGAAGAATGCAGCTAGGAGTTACCGATATTACTAACATTTTAGAAGGATCTATAAGATAATAAACATTTGGGAATCACTGTTTTACGCGTAACTATTACGAGATTCACATTTTATGGCGGCTCACACAAACTTGGAAATGAATTAATGTGATATTAGTGACAACTGTACTAAATTTTCGAGAAAATTTTTCTTCAGCTAAAATTATATTACATGTTGCGTTTTATACAAGAATGCGAGCATCCATAAAGTTTGAATAGCATTGTATGGTTCAGAGATTGTTGTTTAGCCTAGCCTAGCCTAGCCTTCACCCCAGGTAAGTAACAATTGAAGATATTTTAACCATGTCCAGGGCGATAGTGGTGGGCCGCTGATGTACCAACTGTCGAGCGGTCGCTGGGCGGTTGTGGGTGTGGTATCTTGGGGCGTCCGTTGCGGGGAGCCACAACATCCTGGACTGTACATTCGCGTCGACAAGTACTTGCCATGGATTGCGGAAAACGTCATCTTCTAATTTGTTCGTATATGTCATTTGAAGTAAGCTGCTCTATTAAATAAATTACATTTGTAACATTTATTAATTTGGTGATTTCACAGTATAAAGCCTGGGATTAAGTCAAACATCAATTGAATAAAAGTAAAGTTATACCTTATTTATTTCTTAATATTAGTTATTTTAAAACTATAATATCTACAACATAGAAAGATCAACCATTTCCCCGCAGTCCTCGATAGCTTGCAGCATCTCTAATACTTCCGCCTCTTCTAACACAGGATGGAAAGTGAACGCCAATCTGAAGAAATTCTTGTGCTGTCGTAACGGCATATAGGCTACCATAAGACGGGAACTTATCGTTAATAATTCTTTTATCTTCTTCGTTATCTAAAACAAAATAAAACTTGTAACTAAGTATATCGTATAAAGGACTTGAATACATTTATTTGACACTGTTGCTCGCGGCTACACCCGCGTGAAATTAAAAATAATAAAAAAACAGTCTATGTTACTCACAAATTATCCTTTTAACGGTGAAAAAATCTTTAAAATCGACTTAGTAGTTTTTGAGTTATCTCAGTACATACAAAAATACAAATCTTTACTCTTTATAGTATTAATTTGACATAAAACAACACATTGTAACTAAATACTCTTAAAATATATATCAAAGCATCTCAAAATGATGATTATCTAAAAAACGTAGTAATTAAACACTAGAACATAAAAAGACTTACAACATGCATAAGCTCCCACCATCCATCATCCTCTGTTTTCCCTCTCATGAAGTTGGGGATGTACCAAAAGCAGACATTAGGGCACTGCAGGGGTGCGGAGACCAGCCTAAAGCCAGGCTTACTGGCCACAGTCTCTATACAGAACTCTGCTACCTCCATAGTGCGGTCCGCAAGTAAGTTCAGACCTTCATCACCTCGAGCTTTCCATAGTGTCCACAATTTGAACGCATCGATCTAAAAAGGTTTATTATTCGTATATAAAATTGAATTTACAGTTCGATTCAATATTTATGGCGGTTTGGAATATCACATAAAACTCTACCCAGACTACTTAGTTTTAGGTATACGCGACATGTATAAGAAAGAAAAGTTCGAGACACACCGGTGCACGAACTTTCCTCTGTTAATACGAGCCGTTATAAAGTTTGAATCTAATAATACTTAATGTCACTCTAAAGAATATGAGTTAATGACACTTTAATCTTTAAGCTATAAGATATAATAATGCAAAAGAGATGAAGTACATTTTATACTCAAAGATTCTAGGGGTTTAAATTTAAGAAGCTATAAAACATACGAATAACTACAATGAAAAGTTTTAATACATATGGCATATGGTAATATACAATCCTAGAAAGTAAAAACATTTTCGATAACAATTTACGACCTATTGTGTTTTAAACTATTACAAGACATAAAAATCTTTTGTTTAAAATGTTTCTTATACAGTATTTTTCATTGTTTACCACAATACTGGGACATAAATATAAAAATGTTAAGTTAAGAACTTTCTTAATTGTTTCTATTTCTCTTAAACCATGAAAGGGATAGCAACACTTTTAAATGACAGTGAAAACCCGTCATATATACTTAAAACTTGTTATACACTTACCTTTCTACCGCACTGTACCCCTTTGTCACCGGTATCATAAGTTATGTCATAGAACTTGTCCTGCTGGAAGAGGTACTGTGCGGAGGCGCAGTTGGCGGAGTGCAGCAGACCACGCTCGCGGATGAGGAACACAGAGCACTGCAGGGGAGCACCTACCATCTTATGAGGGTTCCACGATATTGAATTGGCCCTGGAAAATATTAAAAAGAATATAGAGTAGAAAATTGCTAATCAATAGACAAAGCAAGTAAGAAACGGAAGGTGGCTTAGTAAATAACTCTTTAAAATGCACCACTTTTGGTAAAAAAAAAAAAACATGTAAAGTCGTAATCTTCTGATTACCTTTCAATTCCTTTCAATCTGTGCTTGTATTTACGAGATAAAATCAAACTGCCGCCCCAGCAAGCCTGGAAGAAATAAAATATTCTGAAAGGATATCAAATAGAACTTATGTCAGGTTTCCCAGCTATTTTTTACTATTCGTTAGTGTTTTTGGTTCTCGAAATGCGTTTCCGAACTAATGTAACGAGTTCAACTCTAGCTAGCATTAATGAATTAATAGGTACAATCAATAAATGGAAACTTCAGAAACCCAGCATTATACACAATAATCTATATAAAATCTACCCCTTGAAATTTTTACACTGTAACCTACACATAAAGAAGACCTAATTTGACTATGTTCCAGTTTATTGAACATCTCGATTAAACATTGATCCAATACGTACATCAACGTGCATCCAAATGCCATGCTTCTGGCAAACATCGGCGATAGCGTCCATATTGTCTATAGCTCCTAGCACAGTAGTACCGGCAGTAGCGTTCACCATAACAGGATACCTTCCAGAATCCTTCTCCCTTTGTATACCAGCGGCCAGCTGTTTCAAATCCATCTGTCCAAACTCGTTGGTGGCTATCTGTATTATATTGTCTGTGCCGAATCCGAGCCAATGAGCGCCTTTCATTATCGAATAGTGACTCTAGAAAACAATATATTTAATAAATAAGTTTTATGAAAACAGCAACAGAAGGTCTATAAATATTTTCGTAACAGTTGTGATAAGCCCTCAGTAATATTGCGACTACAAAATGTAATAGATAGCACTACATTAAAACGTTAAAGTAAATAGTGTGTAAAAAGTGACATAGATGGAACCACCAGCGTTTTATAACTCGGTATAACGTTCGTTCTATTTAATTGATGTTTTCAAGTTTAGCCCTTTTAACTTTCTAAGGTTTACTTTGACAAGCTATTACAATAATTAAATGAATAATAAATTTACTTACGTCTTCAGATGTAAAAACAACCAGTTCTGGTAGACTCCTTACACCTTTGGTCTTGACGTCGGGGAATGCTTTGTATCTCGCGGCGACAAGCGCGTACAGCATGGAGACAGACCCGCCAGGACTGAAGATTCCGTCGCCATCGGAGAAGCCGAACAATTGTAGAATGTGACTAATCATTTTCAGTTCAACCAGAGTAAACGCTGGAGCAACTTCGAAGGTGTACCTGAAATGTCAGAAATAAGGTTACTAAGTACTATTCTGTTTGTCCTTTAATTCTTTGCTTATAAATCCATTTAGATTTCTCATGAAAATTTATTTATTTGTCCATCTATCATGAAAAAGTACTATTTAGTAATATTTCAACTCAAGCATCAGCTAAGAAAGCTAAAGCTAAAGCTAAACTATTGTGTGATTGTCGATTGTTTTAAAGCCTATTCAATTGTTTAGTTGCACAACCAAAAATCAAATTGAGACCAAACAGTTGTGCAATAGTTTAGTCAAAGTGCGCGCGCACTTATTAAAGATAAATACATACTGGCTGGTATTAAAGCTTTCAGCTATCCAGGCACCGCACAAGCCGTATGGGTCGGTAGCACCATATAGCTGATTCCTAAAAGAATGCTTGTTGGTGTTGACGCTGTAGTGAAGGACTTGGCGTACAGATCGCTCCAATTCCTTGTCATCAACGCCATCGCTTACGTTCAGATCTAGAATTTTCTAAAATACAAACGTTTATTTATTAGCTAACCGAAACCCTCGTATTTTTTAACCTTGAGTTCACGTAATGTGTCTCCATGTTAAACTAATTGAATAATTAATATGAGTACATGTTTGTGTTTACAATAATCCTTGACAATTAATAATACATCTAATGTCCATATTTAGATCTGCAATTGCAACTAATTTGCACATATTTTTATAGAATGTCGCGAGCATGTCATATGGCCATTTTAGATACAAATAAACACTTCCGCATTTACTTCTACAATATATACAGTCGGTATAATAAGTGAAACAAATAATTTAATAAGTATTAAGAACTAATGTTAAGAAGAAATCGGTACTGTGGCGGGGAAGCGGCGCAACCCTAGGTCGTTGACATACATTCCGTCCCTATAACATCTGTCAAAGTCAATTTGAAGGATCAAAGATAAGCGCGCTATTCCTGACGGGAATTAAAGATTGTGTATCGAAGTAATTTACGTTATTACGATTTTATTGTCTAAAAATACGTATACCTTTGTCTTCATTGTAAAATCAACTACCATGGAGAGATGACACTGACCGTGTCATATTCCGTATGGATCTTATATTATTTTGCAAGTGTTTGACGAAACATCATAGATTTCGATTATGGTTTTTATTTTAATGGTGTAACGTCATGATTGTATTATTTACCATCAACCGTATTTCCGATACTTTAAGGTTTAGTGTCTTATAAGAATATAGGAATCTACCTACGCTTTTGTCGGTATTTGATAATCAGACTTTGTTGTAGTTTTTGTATTAGCACGAAGTTTGTTCCGGTGTATTGTTGGTACATATAATTTTAAAAATTACTTTCCGATAAAAAGAATAGTAGTGTTTTAAAATAGTATATGGCAATTCATTTAATTAATAGAAAAAATTAATATGACTACAACAACTGTTTTTAAGATAACTGTAAAATGATTTTTCTCATTTTCTTTCTATTTAGTTATGTAAAAGGAAAGGGGTCTAAAAATCACAAAAACATACCTCCAATTCTTTAGGATGCTTAAAGTCTATCAAGGGTACATCACTAGCGGTTTCTTCTTTAATTATATCGATAATTCTATTCAAAAATGAATGTTTGTGATCCATTCTAAGCTCCACGACACGTGTGACATCGGCAACGGACAACAAGAGACTGCATACAATTGAAGCTGATTTAATTCAAATTCCTTCACGCCTAACATGTTAACAGGTTTGACACTCGCGTTAATTTAAACGCATCATACGCTTTTATGTTGTCCTGGTACTTCGGATTCAAATCTTGTTCATACTTGGCCAATACAGTTGGACAATAGCCCAGGCTAGGCACGGATTGTATGGAATCACTGGAGCCTCTCAGTGTTCACATTATGCCAGTTTAATGCCAGTCCAGTCATTGAGTGTTACTGTCCAATGAAAGTTTCAGAGTTCAAAGGAATAATGACTGTACATTCAAATCTGAATCGCATAGTCTTTTTTCGTTTAACTTATGCTCATCGTGAGAAAAACCTTTATCAGCTTATAGCCTTACCATTCGTTAATTATTTCTAACTTTAATGACGCCGTTTCGAATAGTTCATAATGTACCTAGTCAGATAATAAACTAGCGAAGGGTGCGGTGCCTGCAGATGACGTATGTCATTTGACCACCATTGACCGCACGAGTGCGTATGTTTACAAGTTTTTATTTTCTTATTACATATCCATTTATGCGATAACACTGAAGGCAATGACTCTATTAGGTAAGAGCAATGTTTATTTTATTGTAAACAGAACAAAGAAAATAATACGGAACTGTAAATGTGAAGATCAAAACCTAATTAAAACTTCTACGGTTCTTTAGGTACAGTTAGTTTTCCAAATACATCATTATTATCTCATTTGGGATTTAAAATCTATAATTAAAAACTGATATTACAGTTGTCACAATAAAAAATATTCAATGACATTGTCAGGAGTATTTGCCAATTTGGGTATGGCAACATTGAATTGTTGACTTGTCAAATTATACTTATAAATATTTTATTAACATCGATTTACATAATTTCTACAATTTTAGCACTTATAAATATAATTTACACCTGTGTTAATTTACAAGTCAATGACCAGGAAAGCACAAAACAGTCATGGCAAAATTGTTAGTATTAAAACTTTGAAATAACAAACCCCTTTAATACATTACGCACGAAATTTTTACTTGTCTTAATAAATAACATTATCTTTCGCCCGCGACTTTGTCCGGGAAATAAAAAAAAACAAAAGCTATGACAAATTTCATCGAAAGCCGTTTAGCAGTTTAGACTACAAACTTTAACAAACATCCATCCATCTAAACTTTCGCATTTATAATTTTAGAAAGATCTAATTCGGTACGTTTTAGTTCTAAGAGTTATTTCAAAAAGGGGTTAAGTAATTACTTAACCTCTCAATACCATAACCACGTAGATTTGTTAATACTTTAAGTACTCAATATTACAATCATTTTGGCACGTATCAAAATTTCAAGTTAAACTGCACAATGAATTTCCGCAGACAAAGAACTCGTTCAAGACGGAGCTCACTTAACGCTATGATAAACACAGAGAAATGGCGTAGCTTTCCTAAACGGATTTCACACGCCAATAACGATTTACTAGAAGAGGATTCAACTGACGAAGACAGTCCAAAGACAGCTAACCTGAGTGACCTGACACAAGAGTTCTTCGGTCGTGAAAGCGTGTCAGAAGAACAAATAGACCAAGACGTGGAAGTACGACTGTCGAGGAAGCAGACGCTCATCCTTGCCACCATGGTGCCTGATGAAATACTTCTATTAGAAAAGTTTGTACCTAACGGGAACCTCGTTTTTTCTTAGCTCTAACTAGTAATAGATTTCTTAAATCTGCATCTATACATGTAATAAAATTGGAGTTTCTGTTTGTAATGTTATAAGAAAAATTCCAGATTTCGGAAAGATTATGTATTTGAGTTGCTGATAACGAAAATCGCATTTTAAAATTTTTTGTCTGTCTGTCTGTAAGCTGCGTTTTTTCCGAGCAATTTCCAAAACGGCTGGGCCGATTTTGACGGGACTTTTATTATGGGCTACTTATTTTTTAAATTCCGCGCTGTCAAAAAGGCGTAACGGGTGGTCCAAATTTGCGCCAACGAAGTTGGCAACGACAGCTCGTCCTACATAAGTAATAATTTTGTGTCTTAGCAGTGTTTAGTTTGGTTTACCCATATGTTATAATTTGCAGTTTCGATGAAAAACGTGAACCAAAACGATTTGTTGGAGTGCTTTTGATGGCTGATGTCTCCGGTTATACCGCGCTATCTGAACGTTATACCAATTCTGGTAAAGGCGGGACGTATCGACTAACTGTCACCTTGAATACATACCTGGGTTCTTTGATCGAAGTGATATACAGCCACGGTGGTGATATCATTAAGTTTGCAGGCGACGCGTTCCTTGCACTGTGGAAAACAGACAAGCGATCATACCTTAATCATACTATACACACGGCTATAGCATGTGCACTGATCATTCAACATTCATTCGGTTCCTACGAAACAGACGTTAAGGTGAATTTGAAAGTAAAATTGGCAATATCAGCAGGGAATCTAATGTTCGCTCCGATTGGTAAAGGTATTGATATGAATTACATAATATTTGGTCTACCAGTACTTGAAGCGAAGACAGCGGAAAGTCTTTGTTTATCTGGGGAGGTGAAATTAACACCGACAGCTTGGGGACACTGCTATTCAAGAAACTACGATTACATTATCCATAATGATGGTCATGTCACGATTAAGTCAATTCTATACGATCCTAGGGAGAAAGATGTTACAAAGCCGTTTTTAGGTTTCAGTGGAATGCTCAGACAAATAAAAAAGCCTTTAATTGGTATTGAAAATTTACCTGAGAATTTATTAGACGTTACGAAAACAAAAGTTGGGTGGGAATCGTTAAAAACAAGTGAAGCATTGAATGTACGGAAAACTATTTTAATGGCCGAGGAAAGGAATATTGGTTCAGAAATACGCAAGTTTATGATAAGACCGGTACTTACACAAATCGACGCTCATCAGCCTTTAGAATATTTAACAGAAATGAGACATGTTTCTGTATTATTCATTACGCTTAAACCTCGTAACTGTCCATTTCCACAATTGATTACTATCGTCAATAATTCCTATCAAATAACATGTGAAATTGTATACAAATCAATGGGTTGTGTTAATAAAATAATTCTATTCGATAAAGACATCATGATCCTTGTAGTATTCGGCCTTCGTGGATTCAAACATGAATCTGAAGCACAAGCTGCTTTGAAATGTGCCTCCGGCATAAAGAAGTCATTGTCAGCTTTGGACGGAGTTCTCGAAGTTTCTATTGGCGTCACCACTGGACAAGTATACTGCGGAGTTATTGGACACCCGCTAAGAAGGGAATTCACTATAATTGGAGCAGTTGTAAATAAAGCCGCAAGATTTATGTGTTATTTTCGCAACAAAATTACATGCGACGAAACTACGTTTGTTAAAAGTAAAATGTCTAGCAACGGGTTTACTTTACAACCAGCCGCCGATTTGAAAGGCATCAATCATCCTGGAAAGATTTTTGAATACACAGAAGAAATAAGAGTCAAAGAATTATATGACATACCAGTACTACCTCCGCTTCTAAACCGTAATGATGAATTCGAATATTTTCAAAATTGGATAGATAACAGTCATTTGTCGTTTAGGGATTTCGATGCACTCTTATTTATAGGAGAGTATTGCTCTGGAAAAACTAGGCTGTTAGAATGGCTCACGCGATATGTCAAAAATAAAGGATTAAGAACTTGCTATCTGAGTCTTTCATCTATTCACTCTGCGACACCATATTTAGCGTTAGGTCAAATCGTTAACGAAATGTTAGGATTAAAAGAACCCATTACAGGTTTCTCAAAAGAAGAAAAAATCGTACAGATGCTAAATTCTTATAATTCAGATTTATGTTATTTGAACAATATTATAAAAGTTCGTTTCGCGTACCATGAAGGGATTTACACTCAAGATGAAAACGTACGTAAAGAAAAAGCTAAAAATATCTTTATGAACCTTATTAGGGCATTTCCTGAACCTCATGTTATATTTTTAGACGATCTGCAGAATCTAGATGCTTCTTCGTGGGAGTTTATTTCGATAATGTTAGATGCCCCTAAGATTTACACCGTACTAACAATTACGCGTGGAAAATTCAATAGTATTCAAAATTGGATTTATAGTGTATTCATTAACAGCAGTATAAGAAAGATTGTCTTAGGACCTTTGTCTTCTCATTGGATACCAGCACTGGCTTGTCAAATACTTGACGTAGAAGCCGTACCCAAGGATTTATGTGACACACTTAAAAGCAAATGTAAAGGTCTGCCAGGTCTTGTAGAAAGTTTTATAGTGAATTTATTCTCAAACGGAGCTTTAGAAACTAATCGAATAAAAAAACACGAATTGGATAATTTAGAAAACGAAGATCTACAATTTCCCGATACTGAGTTACTACGACTCCAAGCAGTAAGTTTAGAAGACCAAGAGGCTTTGGACCATTTCATGACTGACAATTTTACCGAGGATATTGCAGTTTGTATTGTAACTAAAAAGGAACAGCTGAATACTAATATTAACGAACAAAACGTTGACGCTATAATAATGGTTCAAATAGACTCTTTAACGCCTTATCAACAATTATTGTTAAAGATTGCTTCGGTTATAGGTAACGTGCTATCTAGAACTCTCTTAGAAAGTATCATGTATGAAAATAACCCAGTAACTACAGCAAAAGCGGTAAAAAGACTATTTGCAATGCGTATTTTAACATGTGCAAATATAAGATATCGTCTCAATAGAAGAGTAACTAATGCAACATCTGTAACGAGTATAGCAGTCAACACAAATTTATCTTGTGATTGTTCTTTCGATTATGATCCAGAAGAAAACGAAAATCTACCAAAATATGCTTTCTGTAAAGTTATGAAATTTCGTAACAAGAATTCAAGAAAGACATGCTATGAACTGTTACCTATAAATCAAAAAAAAGAATTTCACTCTCGAATCGTAGGTTACTTAGAAAAAACGAAACAGAAGTGTCCTGATTGTGGCGGGGTAATTATGATCGTTCAGTCGGTTACAAATATTTCTAACTATTCGTATGAAGCTCGAAGATCTAGTAATAAAATTGATCACATGAGAGACAGTGACACAAGTCTTTCTAAAATTGGTGAAGAAATCGAAGTAAGTAGCATAAATTTAGCTCAGAATGTATCATCGATGAATAATCGAAGTGCTATAGAAATAAGACGAACAAAATCTGAATGCAGCAAACAAGTTTTAGAGCCTAAATCTACAATAAGCGATAGGAATACACAATTAAGTTTAAAACAAGCTGATAAATTAAATTCACAGCCTTTAACTATTTTAAAAAATAAAAACGAACGTTCAGATACATTTGATGCTAATCGAAGATCGATGAAAAGAGTAACAATGACGAGTTTACTTTCTAAAGACATTAGTTTTACTGAAATGAGTAATTCTAAGTTATTTGATATGCTACGTGCTGTTACTGAAGCAAGTACAATTAACGAGTGGCACGACTTAGGTGTTGTCGACAGCTGTGACGATGTCAACGAAAACGGTAAAGGATATTTCAAACTTAAAATTGAAAGAGGTGTATCAAAAACTCGATTTGAGAAATGTGCTTGTTTAGAATTAAATATAACTATATACGAACAACTTATAAATCACGCAAGAGAGGCAGACTTGAAAGTGAAAATGATAGAATTTTTAATCAATTATAGTTATTTCAATTTGCTGGCAAACAACTTTGAATGTATTTACCCGAAGCTAGGTGAAGCTGAAGATATTTGTTCTGAAAAAGCTGTTGAAAACTTGACTACATTCGACAAGAGAAGGTTTTTAGGACGAATACATTCTCTGAGAGGGGCAGCTTTATTGATGAGTGGGAAATTAGCTGCTGCTAAGATCAATATAGAGAGAGCTATTAAAATCTACGGTTTTAATCTTGACAAAGTGTCTGATTTCTTCAATATTCGGAACATAATCACAGCAACTCCGTTCAAACGCAGCAAATATTTAAAACATAGTATGATTATGAAAGCAGATTCCATATTTTGCCTAAATGTTACAACCCTATTGTTTTCTGCTTTAGGTGACGAAAATATTTCAAGAATATCAGCACTCCGAGCTTTAAATTTAACGCAAAAAGTAGAATGTAATATTATAGATTTATGCGATGCCTTCAGTAACGCTATACAAGTAGAACTGGTCCGGGGAAACGCTGAATTTACGAAAGATATAGAACGAATGGCGATTCTTACTTTTAAGAATCTGTCACGGCCGATTCAGGCGGAAGAAATGTTTGCAATTGGCAAGTTCTTTATGGCATCATTTCGTGGAAGACTGGCACGAGGTAAACTCGCTGAAGCCATTCGTTCAGGGTTTAGATCCCTCGTCATCAGTAGATTTCTCCACGCCGATAGTATATCACTGGACATGATTCCTGACCTATTCTATATTTTACTTTCGAGACGTCGCATAGAGGAGGCTATTGATATACTCAAATTGTCTTTCCAATTCAGCCACAAACAATCTACGACAGAATGGGAAACGTGGTATTACGCTCTTTGTATTGACCTTATTCTAGATGCGGGTTTTCAGTTGGAAACCCCCAACGAAATCAGTCGATACGCAGAGCATGCATTATACTCAGGAGTCCCAGCGGGTCTTAGCCGGCGCAGACTAATTGTAGGTCTATGGACGTATTGGTTACGTGCAGATGTTGATCGTAAAGCGAAACGATTCGAGGCAGAGGCTTTAAACTGGACAGCTTACGAAGAAGATGATGGTTCATTAAATACCCTACTGAGCGCAATGAGACTAGCGGAAGGCATGCTTGAAAGCCTTGCGAGAAAAATGGACGATCTACGAAAGGCAAGTTTTGAAACCTTTATCTTAAAATCCGCTTGGTTTTTAACTGTGTAATATTTTATCTTTAGGTTGTTGATCTCATGGAATTAAGATCTATCGCCGAAAGAGAATTAACAAGACTGGAAAAAGATGCACGACTGATGCGCGCCATTTACCCAAGATGGATGTTATTAAAAGGCAACTCTCTTTTTTTATCTGGTCGACAGAATGCGGCAATGACAACTTATAACCACGTCAGTATACTTTTATTTAGAAATCCTACATAAATTCTTTCGGTTTTTCTACATTAAGAAGTTGAACCAAATATTATTACATCTAATAAGTAATAAAATATAATATACAGGCATTAGAAGAATCGCTTCGCATCAATAGTCATTTGGAAGAAGAGTTAGTAAGGGCAGCAACGTCAAATTCGAGAATTTGGATACAAAGTGCACGAACTGGTATTTTTATGCATTGGAGGGAAGGTTGCGAACACGCACGCTCGTCTTGGCATCATATTATGTACAGAATAACAACTACGCGGTCTTAACCACTGTAAATTGAAAGCGAAAAAAAGTTAGTATAAGAATATTTTCATCTGTTCATTATCAATTTTGACTACTTGCCCACATGAAAACTAGTAATTTAACTGGTCTTCATTAACCATATTAGCATATTTTATATTCTTTCATTCTTCATATTTTATCTAATCATATCTAGTTTTAAATGTAATTGGCAGAACATACAAAACCATATACTGAATACAACGAAATCTAAAACATAAACTTTTCAAACTTGAAACTTAATCGTACAACAAAAAAATAATGGACGTTTTAAAAACATTTTTTTCTTGGTATATTTGACATATATTTAAAATAATGACATTTTATTCAACTTGAAATGTTTAATGGCAATACTTTTAGGAACGTCAACTTGACAGCGTAGCCTAAGCAAAAGTTGTTTATTTACTTTTAAAAGTTAAAAATTTTACATAAACTTATTTAATTTATTAATTTAAATGGTTTTCAAATAGGTTTAAATGGTTTTTATCATAAGTACATCCTCAGATAAAACATAAATATACTCCGCACTTATATTTTTCTTTTAAAAACTTAATAAACGTTGTTTACAAATGTTTTGAAAACGATAAAGAAACCTTGACCTTTAAAATGACTATCGTTTTGCTCAATAATTTTGCTATCTTATAGACAATTACTGTCAAGTATCAAGTTAGTTTAACTCTATTAAATATAAAGTTTATTAATATAGACCCGGCGTAATGTTTGCGTCTCAGGAAAAGGTTGTTTTTGTGGGTACCATCGTATCCTCGAGTGCTTTAGACCGGTTAAATATTTTAAAAGGTTTTATAGCTATCGAGAATGGAAAGGTTAGTTTTGTCGTAATAATACTTAATCATAAAAGTGTGGATCTTTACGTTTTACTGTAATCAATATGTCTATTGCAGATAATAAAAAAATCTATTTTTGTGAATCTTTTTCAGATAATTAAAATAGGTTCTATTGAAGAACTAAGCACAAACTTCTCAAAAGAATTATTGGACTTTGAAAAAGTTATTCTTAATGAAAATCAACTATTGATACCTGGGTTTGTAGATTGTCACACCCATGCACCTCAGTTTCCTAACATTGGTCTAGGTCTAGACAGACCATTACTGGAGTGGCTAGATAAATACACATTCCCTTTAGAAAGTAAATATGATGATGTTAACTTTGCTAAGAGCATTTACAGACAAGTTGTGGTCAGTATTGTTTTAATATGTTTTAAACTTGTGGTTCATAATTTAATTTTAACTTAAGTAATATACTATACAATACATGATTTGGCCTGTTAGTCCTTTAACTATTACTAAGGGAGTCCCTTAGCTAAAGTTGTAGTATTCTTGGGCTGATTGGCTTACCAATCAATTGTTGTGATTGGATATTTTCCCATTGAATTCATAGTTATAAGCGGCAAATCAAATCTAATGAAGATTACATAACATAGTGCATTTGTTTATGTCAATATTACAAACATACTTTTGCTCAAAGTTGTTTATGCATTCTTTTAAGGTATGTTCTGCATAAGTGCCAAGTTTAATCAAGATCGGTTGAACCATTCTAGATATACCTTATAACAAAGATCCATCTAAACTTTCTAACATATAATACTAGCTTTCGCCCGCGACTTCGTCATTTTGGTGTTAGAAATAAACAAAACCAAGTAGCCTATGTGTTCTTCCAGACTACACTCTACATGTATACCAAATTTCAATGAGATTGGTTCTGTAGTTTAGGCTACAAACACTAATAAACATCAATCCATGTAAATTTTCACATTTATAATATTAGTATAAAGTATGATTAGTAAGATAATTATTTATTTAATTCTTTTAGCACTACAATTAATATATTAAATATTTTAGCAAAGGTTAATAAATAGTGGAACAACAACAGCATGCTATTTTGGTTCTCTACATCTAGAGGGGACACTGGCGTTAGTAGATAGTGCTATTGAACACGGCCAGAGAGCGCTAGTGGGCAAAGTTAGTATGAACATCAAGAATGATGCGGGTTATTACAATGATACAGCCAAAGAACTAAATGATGTTGAATGTTTTGTGCAGAAAGTGTTGGAACATAAGGTTAGTTGATTTCTCATAATAACCTATACCTTTAGTTTTAAACTTGAATAATTCTGTCAAAACTGATGTGTTGGCAACATTGACAACTGTAAAGTTTAGTTGACAGTTAAAATTTAACTTATACAGTTTTAACATTACAGTTTGTAATGGCTTTATATGTTAAAATTATAATGTTGCAATATTGAATGCTGATCTTATAGTGTTGCCTTTTTATTTACTATTGATCTTTGGGAAATTCTGTTTCTGAGTCAGTTTTCTTTTTATTAATGTTATTTAATTTACTATTTATGTCAATAATTCTTAAATTAATCACATTACCATATTGTTAGTAAAATATTAGGAAACAGAAGTAATAGTGGGGTAGCTTCATAAAAGACTGCTAGAAGTGGCGAAACTTTCTGGCCCTCACTACCTCAGTCCTTCAATTGCTCAGAAGCTCAGTATCTCTGTACATTTCTAGTAGTCACCATGGAATGTTCGATATCTTTACGTAGTTGCCTTAGTTTTTTTTTATAATATATGGTGGCAAACAAGCAAGCGGCCACCTGAATCCGCCGAAATGGAAAGCGACCGCTGCCCATAGAAATCCGCAATTGCAGATACGCTGCCTACCCTTAATTGACGGAGGAGTAGCCGCACATAAAGAGGACATTTCCCCTTCCTATGCGTCTCCTCCAGCGTCAAATCCACTTTTCCTTCCCATCCTTTCCTCTTAAGAAAAGGGTGGAAAAGGAAAGGGAGTAAAGTTAGGCCTCCGGCACCACACTCATCAGACGAAACGCGGAATTGCTTCAACTTCACGCCTGTTTTCTATGTGGCCGTGGTATTGCACTGGGAGAGCCAGCCTATTCGTACGAAGATGTTAAAGCGGGCTCTACCACTATTAATAATTAGTGTTTGTTTTAAAGTAATTAATAAGTATTGCTCATGTAACCATTCATCTTTTATTTATTAAAAAGTCATTTGTATCGAAATATCTAAATTTATCAATTATTTTTTGTAAAGTAATATGTTAAGTGTGAATTTTATTTGTTGTTTAATGTTAACTACTAATGTAATATAGTTTTCTTTTCCAGAATGATTTGGTACATCCAGTTGTGACACCGAGGTTTGCAGTGAGTTGTGACGCTGCATTGATGACTGGATTATCAGATATTGCTAATAGATACGGCTGTAGAATACAGGTTACTTTCAATGCTTCTAATGTATACAAGGCTAGCTTTTGCATATTATAGCCTATGTTACTTAGGGATTGTGTAGCTTCCTAATTAAGAAAGAATTTTTTAATTTAATTCAGTACTGTTTCAGTTTATTCTTTACATATAAGTATTACAAAGTTTTCCTGTATACTAGTGTTAAATTTCTTTTTAAATGATGACAAAAAATTATTTAGCGAAATCTATACTAATATAAGGAGGAAAGATTTGTATTTTTGTCTGTATTGTAATAACTTAAAAACTACTGGACCGATCTCGAAAATTCTTTCACCTATAAAAAGCTATATCTCTGAGTAACATAGGTTATATTTTGTACTATATTTTAATTTCAAGTACACGGAGTCGAGAGCCATAGCTAGTCTTCAACCAAAGAAGCTAAATCTTATATGTATTTTGTTATTTCAGAGTCATATATCAGAGAACCGTGAGGAAATTAAGCATGTGTTGAACATCAACCCCGGCTGTACCAGCTATTCAGAAGTTTATGATAAAAGTCATATACTCAATAATAAGGTAACTATGGAAATAATGTTTTAAATACATAAACTATGGAAGATTCAGCAAAAACAATGTTTGATGATGATTTTAATATTTATGTAATTAACTAAATTCTATGTAAATTTCAAAGTAATTTATAAAGAACTAGCTTTGGCCCGCAACTCCTTGTGGAAAAAAAAAACAAAAGTAATAAGGTTGCCTATGTGTATATAATGAATCGTATTCCATGCGTAGCTCCAGACTTTTTTATATTGTCCCAAATTTAATTAAGACATGTCGAACTATTGCAGAATTATCGACTAAAAATGACAAAACAAAATTAGATTATCCCATGGGAACTTTTAAATGCAAGAGTTTAAGTGTTATAGTTTGTAGCCTAAACGGCTGAACGGATTTCCATGAAATTTGGCATAGACGTAGAGGATAGCCTGGAAGAACACATAGGCTAATCAGTTTGGGTTTTAAAACTAGAATTAGTATAGATAGTATTAGACAACTTATTTAATTGATACTGTCGCTTTTAACTCAGAGCAATACTTCTCGTCAAGACTTAGGATGCGCGCCAAATCTATCCATACTTCTAGTGACATTGACAGCTGTCAGCTAGGGACGGACGTTTATGCCGATAATCTAGAGTTGCGCCAATTCTACAGCACGGTACTAATTTTATTCCTAACAATAGATAGTATAGAGTATTAGAGTATTAGTATAGATAGATAGTATAGATATTGTATACTGTCAGATAGCCCACCACTACCCATGGCCCCACCGACCCTCGGGTCATACGGGCCGAATCGCGGCAGGGGCCGCGGTTTGGCCGGTTTTGGCTCCGCACGCACCTTCTTGACTCCCTACAAGTTATTTCGTCCGTTCCTTAGTGTTGAGTCACTCTCCCCCTATTTTATACTATTGTATACTGTCAGTGTATAATGGCGCACGCGGTGTATCTACGTGAGGAAGAGATGTGTGTGTTGTTGTCGCGCGGCGTGTCGGTGGCGCACTGCCCCGCCTCCAACACGCGCCTGCGCTCCGGCCTCTGCCCCGTCAGGGCGCTCATTGAGGCCGGACTCACTGTGGGACTTGGCACCGGTGAGAAAACTTCATATTTATTAATTTTAGCTCTCGTTGTGTAACCATCATCAATGTTAACTTACATATTCATGCAAAAACTACACTGAACCGAGTCTGACGACTTTACGCTAGTTAAAATTTAACACTTTAAAGACCTGTCCCACCACTGGCTGATAGAGGCTCAGATAGTTTAAAAATGACGCCACTGTCAGATAGAGTAACAAAATCCGATATTTCCATCACATATTTACGTTGACGTTGGTATGTTATCTGACAATTTACAATTGTAGGACAGAGCCTAAAACTGTTTATCAAAACCATTAACATATCTATAGTAGTTGTAACTGATCAAAAAATAATGAAATTAAAAAAAATCTTATTAAATTGGTCGATTCATTAATAATGATGATATTCTCGTATTTTATTTATCTTCTTATCTTAAATCTTATGCGTGATTTACACTTGGCCAGTACAGTTGGTCAGTACTTAACTGGACTGTCAATCAACAATCACAGTGTGAATGCTAACTGGCGAGTGAGTGTGGAAAATCTATTTTTTTTTAAACTGCTTTATTTCAGACGTATCCGGAGGTGATAGTTCGTCTATATTAGACGCGATGCGGCGCGCCATGGACGTGTCCACACATCTGGAGATGTTGGACACGACCAGTGTAACAAGAGCCGCGCTCAACTGGAGGGAAGTATTCTACCTCGCCACGCTGGGGGGCGCTAAAGGTAAATACTACTTTGTTAAGCGACTGTAATGATGAAACTCAAACTCAGCATCTCATCAGATGATGATGAATTATCATCAATCTGCCCTTGTTTTAGAGTCGGCACTATATTGCTCTTTTTAAGATCTCTTATTATTATTATTATTATTATTTTGTGTGACACACTAGCAGCTAGTTAGCTGATGCGTGTGTGTTGACGTTGCTTATGACGGAACAATTTAAAAAACCCACTGAATTAGTTTTGAGAAAAATACGCGAGATTTTGATTTTAGTGTGTTGGTAACATATATTTTAAAAAAAAAAAACTCTGTCGTATTAAAGGTTAAGCATAACCTCTTTACGCATTTTATAGTTTTTTCGGTTTACCTTTGTTGTCATTTACATTTTCGCCATTAGCAAATTCAAATAGTCACAAAATAAAAACTTAT